TTCCGACACTGACGCCAACATCAGAGTGATCAGATGTCGACGCCATTTGCATTTTGCAGACAAAAAGCGCCAGAAATATGGCGGGAAACAATCAAACAACAACCAACATTCCCTATTGTCCTCATGCGTCCTAACACTATACCCTCTGTGTACTGTATGTCTCACTCTGCAAAGAAGAACTTCGTGTAACATTGTTTATCAAATTTCTACGTCACGTGACGAGTATCGATAACATCGATATTTTTAAAAAGTATCGATACTGTCTTTTGAATTGTAAATATCGAAAGTATCGATACTTTAGCACCGGTATCGCCCACCCCTATCATATATGAGTAGAGTGCTCAATACCGTAGAAGAGCTGAAAAGATTAGAAGACAAACTTGAATTACTTCATATAAAATGAAATAAAGTTCATGTGAAATAAAGTTCATATGAAGTAATTCAATATATATATATATATATATATATATATATATATATATATATATATATATATATATATATATATATATATATATATATATATATATATATATATATATATATGAAGGGGAAAATGAAGAGGTTAGTGAGTGGGATTCCGTTTTTCTTTACAGTAACCCAATAATCCAGTTTGGTAAACGTTTTCTTAACAATTTTTGGCAAACATTTTGTCGGGAACGATGCCAGTTAGAAATACCCATCGGGAGTGTGGGATGGGTCGAAAATGAGAAACGGGATACGGAGTAAGACATAAGTTATTGTCAGTGGACCCTCTAAAGCAGCAAACAAACTCAATCACATGCGATAAATTAAAATAGAAGTTCATTACCTAGTCTGATTATCGTCGGACTCTCGCACTTCGATGTCTTCGCAATGCCAATGTACTCGATCTTTTGGGATTACCCTGAACAAAAATCCACGAGCGACTGTCGACGAGGAATCATCGACCACGTAACCTGTACATCTCACAGCAAAGTTTGTCACGGGGACAAACAATTGACTTTTTAAGACACCGATCTCTCCATCCAGCTCTAATAATTTCTTCCCTGCAGCTTTAGTTTCTTGACTACTGCTTTCACTAATGTTTGGCTGAGAAGAACTACTGAGATCGCTAATTATATCAGCAATCTCTCCAACCTCCTTTTCGTTGAATGACATGACAACTTTTTTAAAAATTTGCAACTGGTATAATTATTCCGCACACACTAGGAGAGTAGTTTTGTATGCTTGATCTCACTATGTGGCATGTTTTTATATGATCAGCTGAATCAGTTAATCACGTGTATGTTTAAGCGGAATGCGAGAATATCAAATTTTTGTTTGATAAAATGGCCCACCCCACTTTATCGTAATGTTACCGTTGCAGACAGCTTTTTCCGCCCAGTTTATGAAACGGAAATTTGGTTAAAAGCCGCAATTAGTCGTTTTTAAGTGCTCTAATTTGAACATCAACGCATTAAGTCATTCTTCACAGTTTTATGGCGGACTTGTCACTCAACTTTTGAAAATGTGCACAAACAATGCATGGACGTCAATGGTTTTGGATTCGCTAAAATTTCATGTTTTCCTGTATATAATCACTAGTTAGACATTTTTAGTACTATGACCCTTACAAAAAAAAACCATAACGGTTGCGCGCATGCAATTTCAATTGTTACTGTAACTGGTAAAAGGGTCATGTTTCCGCCGTGTGCGGTAAAAGGTGGCATATTGCACGCGTGTTTAGAGGGCATGGCGGGAAAGGCGGAGTACTGAGAGTCAAAATATTGTTTATTTCGCTTAAAGATTAAATTTTAACGATACTCCGCGTTTTCCACTTTATATAGGCATAAAGTGGAAAACGCGGAGTCTGTCAAAAAATAGACAAGTACTAAATAAAACATGAGCAGCCGATCTGTATCTGATATACAAACTCGAGCCGGAGTTTGTATATCAGATACAGATCGGCTGCTCATGTTTTATCTAGTCCTTAAAAAACGACCCATCTTATGAGTTCATTGGCGAAGTAATTTTAAAAATAAACATTGGCTAAGCCGAGAAAATCAAAGCTGAAGTTTATGTAATCAGAACAAATCTTTATCCGATTTATAAACATTTTCATTGATACAGAGAATATTCGTAATCAAAACCTTATGTCAAAACGTTTTACGAAACAAGTATACCTTGCAGAAGGCTCGTGTTGCTTTTGGATTGATTAACTTTGGATTGATTAACTTTGGATTGATTAACTAACGGTGGAAGAATGTGATTTCGACCGACAATTTTTATTTGTGCGGCCATTTCTCATCGTTACGGTTTAAGAATGGTATCATAGAATAGCTAAATAACAGCTCTTTCGTCCTATGTAAAAATTGAACTGTTTAGTTAAGTTTGTGATGCACAACAGCCTGTTGCCGTGAATTTCCATAGCGTTTTCTTAGACACCCTGTATAATAGATCAGCACTACGGCCAAATCACAAAAGAAAACAGCCATCAACAACCTAATTAGAACAAAATATTTGTATTTATTAGAGGAGTATTAAAAATTTAACTCTCTTGTTTTCAAGGCATGAAATTGCACCAAAGTTCACTGTCACAATCGCGGGGTGTTTACAATGCACTAGATTGCAAAAAGTCTTGCCGGACCTTCCGGATTTTTTTACCGATATTAATCTAAGGAATTCTTGGGCTTGATACGTCGAGTCACATCACATGTGTTTTCGTTTGGTACAAAATGTCATTTAAAATAAAATCGAATCTTTAGGCAAAATACACAATTTTTTGACAGACTCCGTACTCCGCACTCCGTCTTTTCCACCATGTCGTCCATGCCGTTTTTCTGTTATAAATGAGATGTAAAGTTTTGATCCAGTTCTTTAATTAGGTTCTTATATTTGGCTTTCTTATAGTTAACATTAATTGCGAGTGATGTTTGATTCAAAGCATGCAGGCATGACAGTCCAGTACTCGTTTTATATTCTATAACTACCTACGCGGCTACACTATTGAGTATTGTTTATAATTTTTTTATGTAGAATACAATTCAAAATCATCCCAAAGGCAATAAGTAAATTTACTTAATTAATGCGACACGTATAATGCACAACATAAGCTCCACCTTTGAATTTACTATATGAGTAAATTCTTAAACACGTCCGAAATTATCATTATGATAAATTCGCGGCAGATATGTCCTTTATAACATCTAAAAAAAGAGCTCTATACATCTCAAAATGTTGTGATCAGCTGCCAAATAAATCCATTAAACAAGGTTTACAATTACAAGACAGTGTTTTCGGAAATGAGGCCTATTATCAAGCCTTTATTTTCAACTGTATTTTACAGCTTGAAATCTCTCCCCTATATACAAATGCGCGACTGCTAACTCTCATCGCCTCACATTTCTTTCTTTTTGGGCAGTTGATTCTATATTTCCAGAATCTTCAGGGTAGCCCATAGGTAGACAAATTTTTCCAATGGTCCAAGCCGAATTGGTTGTATACATTTTTTAATTTTGAGTTTCAATTCGAAATATTTTTTCTCGAAACACAATTCACCCGTGTGCCAAAAAGATAAATTAGTTTTTGAGGGACTAATTACATTGAGAGTTTATATCCCGGCTGAATTTTAACCTTGTACATGTTAACCCATGTTGAAATTGTTTCATTATCACATGGCAATTAAGAGGGCCTCTCAGTAAAACCACTCACTGGTTTGGGGAAGGGAAAATAGATTTAGCTTATATTTTGCATATGAACTAGACTTTGGTCAATATTAATCGAGCTTCTTTCAGAACGTTTCAACTTTCTGTTTTATAGGAGTTATAGCCATGTTGAAATTTGACCTTGCGAGAATATTTTCAGACCGGAAATGAAGGGGAATTTTACAAGAATTCATCTGATTTTTTAAAAACGTTGTGATGCGTTTATCCCCTCCAGTTACTGTTCACATGCAAGATTAACACTAATACTCTCGTTTACATGGAGATTGAACAACTTTATTTGCTTAATACGATTTTTTTATAGTTTTACGAAACTATGTTTTCAAGATGGCGACGAGAGGCTGAAAATTGCTCATATTTTACTTAAAATAGCTCAAAAGTGGCACCTATCTGAAGTTCAAAAGGCATGTAATTTGAAAGTATACCTACTAAAGTTAAGTAATCAGGAATAAAACTCGTCTGCAAGCAATTTTCTGAAAAGTTATAAATCTCCAAATTGGGTCTATTTTTAGCTGTTTGTTTACATTCGCGTGTTCGCTGATCAGCGACACTAGTAATAATTAAAAAGTTAAATAAGCTGGTTTATTATCCAGGTTCTAATTCACAACATAGAAACATTAAAAATACAACCTTAACCATTCTTGGCTTATTCGCATGAATAATTTCACAACTGTTAAATATCTTTTTAAGGTATAATCGGGCAGTACTTTCTGTGGTTGTAGCAAATTTCAAAGCTGTCAGTATCTCTGGCTGTATATAAAAAGTGTTCGGTGCTTTAACTTTTTTATTCAACTCGTCTCGTAATCTTTTTCTGTCCCTGTAAATGGAAATTTTGCCGGAAAGGTCGGACATTAATTCTTGCAGAATGGATGCAACATATTTTTGTAAATTTGTACATAATTGCAGTCAAAATACTACAACCTTCCCACTTCCGCTTTTGTAGTCTGTTGTCATTTACTATTTTGTTTTGACTTTTGCATTATTGTAGCCGTTGCCGAATTATGGAGAAATATTGCGATAAAATTTAGTTGTTTTTTTATTTTTGTAATATTTTAAATAATTGTAACAAAGGATGCATTTTTCCTTTGATTCACTGCATATGAACACATAAAAGTTTTGAAATTTAACTTATGTCGTCGTATATCCCTATAATTTGTTAACCGCTACAATAACAGAAATACTGCAGTAAGAGACAGAGATTTTCAAAAAAAATAGTTTTTAAAAAGTTTTAAAAGAGTTTTAAAAAGCAACAAAGTTTAAAAAGTTAGATTTTTAAAAAAGTTTAAAAGATTTAAAACGGTTAAAAAAGTTAGCGTT